ATTGGTGGATACGCATACATATTATATGGCTTATATGTGGGTGTCCTGGTGTCCGGGTACATGTGTGTTTTTCTGCAGTGCGATGGGAAGGTCAGGGGAACCGANTCTGTCTGTTGGGTGGCTGATGTTTATACTGATCGTAAGGAGTAGACCGGGGGCGTGTGTGGTGTTGCCCTGCCTGGTCTCCGCTCTTTTCCCCTCCCCCTTGGCGAGCAAAGGGGGTACGCAAAATAATAATGACAAATTTCAAAAGCATAGAGAAAAACAGGCTCTTGTCGTACCAACCGCGCCGACAGGGTCCCCGTGACTGCACCCTTGGTACCCTACAACACACGAAATTCCCAACACGAATCCCGTTGGGATCCTCACGACCAGATACTGCTGCGAGTATATCTATCATGCTTCATTTTATTGTGGCTCCCTCTTCGTGGAATGTGAGCTTACGAAAACGAAAATCGGTTCAGGAGGGGTGATGTCTTGAGGCAACCTCGGGACGACAGAGAGCACGTGCAACACGGCGAGGCAATCACAGTAACAACAGCCGTTGCCGAGGTTCAGATATTGGTACGAAATATGGCAAACAGTGTTGAGCAAAGTGGTGCAAATTCCCAGGAAGGTTTCATCTGTCGATAAGCTTCGGCTTCTCCCTCTGCCAGCGATTGAAAGAGAGGGACGGCGAACATAATTGCTGAAGTACAGAAATAACAGTCGGAAAGCGTTTGATGAGCATTTCTGCCTGTTTCGTGTGCGTCATGAATTTTTGTGCCCCTTTTCCATGCCTCATTTGACGTATCTCTCTCAGGCAACCAACGCGTATCGTGGGGGCTGACGTGAGTGGTTGATGGCATCAAGTCAACAATTGTTTGTTTCCACGAATGGATAATTGTTTCATCGAACAAGCCACCAGCTGCTTGAAAGATTAAAAGAGTTTTGAGCGTGAAGGACACGTTCTGAGCGGCACTCGTCCGACCCCACCTGTTATCATTCCGCAAGGGACGACCGCTCATTTCCTCCCCTTCCACGTCCTCCGCGTGCCACCCATCTACTCCAAGTGCTATCACTGCTATGCTGCTGCTGCCTATCCCCTATACCCATCACCTTGCTTATCGCGCGGTGCTTGGGCCTTGCAAACCTGCCCACCAGCGAGCCAAAGCTCTTGACGTCCCCTCGACGTATGCGTTCCCCTCGACGTATGCGCATGTATTCACCACACCGCACTGGATGTCTCGATGTACACTAAGACAAACACATGAACACAAACCAACAGCAGAGAAATATACGACAACAACAACGGCCGTACACCACGTGCTTGTGGGCCTCAGCCCCACGCTTGTTTTCCTGACTGGTGCGCGGAAGCTCCCGGTGTGGCTCGCGAGCGACATCTGCTTCTTTTTGCGCGCAACATCAATCAATAATCCCGCCCCACGCGTCAGCTTATTGGACACCGAATAGCTGCCCGCTTCCCGACCAACTCTCAGCTATTCCTTGCCAACGAGCTCGCTCCAGGTTGTCGATTTGTTGCCATGTCTCTGCTTCTCAAGTCGTCGTTTCGATGCTGGCCGTTGTCCATTTTTCCCATCATAGCTACTTCCAACATCTCGCGGCTGCTGCTGCTTTGGACTTAAGCGTATGCCTCCGCCTGGTCTTGCGGGTCGAAGCCCCCGTCCGGGTCCGTCGGTTGGTGCTCCTGTCGACAGGGAAGCGAAAGGTACGGTGAGAGAAATGAAACAACCAAATAGTCCGGTCACACGGATTGCTCTGGTAAAAACACTTGGCAAAGCTCGAAAAGACAGGAAGGCACAAACGTCACACAAACGAAACTGGCGAAAGCAGTTGCACAACAACACGGGTCAGCCGAAGACACTTGCCTATTTCTGTCGTGTAGACCGCGCGGCCAGAGTATGCATGTACAGCAGTTGAACCACTCATCTTCTAACGATCAAATAACATAGAGTTTTGATTTCTCTCGAAATCCCCAGAATCCCCCAAACACCCCTACTCGAACGGACAAAACCATCGCCGAACTAATCAAGGTGGCATCATTGAAGGCAGCCTCGCGACCACTCCAACACCGAAAAAAAGACGCACTTCTAACTTGTTCGGCAACACGGACCGCAGGAGAAGCACAGGATTCGGCCACGGAACACAAACAAGCGGCACGCTCCCAAGAGCAACGAAAGTCAAGCAGGGGGGGGAACAGGAGAGCGGCCGTGACAAGATACCCAAAAAGTCGCGAGACACCCTAGTCATACAAGGGGGAGAAACGAACAAGATAACTACCTCCACCTTATGAGACACCTGAATGTCATACAGGGGGGGGCGGGAAACAAGAGAGCCGCAAGCACCTTCATTGCGTCAGCGGCGCGGTCGGCGAAGCCCCTGACGGCTTCGTTGGTGCCGTAGGCGTACTTGAGGGAGGCCGCGAAGGCGATCCAACCCGCGAAGTAACCGTTTCCTGAGATCGTAAAGGGCCCCTTGAACGTCCCGATGCCTGCGACACGCGTACGAAAATGAAGCTTGGTTATCTCATTATTTTCTTATCATCATCGGCGTTGTGCCTACCCTATTCATTTTCGAAGTGCAACTGTGCGCCCGTTCATCCGTGTATTGTCTGTGGGTGAATTGTGCGACCGTCCGACATTTTACTTTCATACACGGCGATAGAAATCGGGGCAAAGGGTGTAATCTATTTCCATGTGCATTTAGATTTTCGGCGTGACGCGCTCGGAAACAGCTAAACAAAACACAAAAAATGGCCTATTAGCTTTGCTGCAAAAGTGGCCTATTAGCTTTGCTGCTTGTTGCGCATCATCTCGAACACCGTTTCTTCTCCCGCCCAATGTTCCATCCATCGCAAACCATACAACAATTTCCGGGGCCTGAATGAACTCTCTCCGCGGATACACGCACTAAATGTACACGCATGAGCGGAGATTCCTCGGCACTTCCAAGGAACGAGAGACCAAGCTCAATCCTTCCGGGGTACGCTTCAGGCGTTAAGGCTTCAAAGCCTCAACATTGACGGGGGTGATGACAACGCCGGCTTTCAGCTTCTGGTAGGCAAAATTCAAGAAATTCAATGTACAAAAAAAGATAAGAGGATATAATGCAAGTCTGTTATCTCTTGTTTGAACCATTCACACCGTTACATCCGTGCCAAGCGAGGCGGCATATGTCCAATTTTTCACTAGCCAGGCCCGGCGGGGGGTTATGCCTGCTTACCGGCTCCGAGAGTCCACCAGAGGAAGAAAAAGAGAGCGATGAACTTCTGGAACTTGTGGATCATGTCTCCCTTACCCCGTGCCTACGCACCCAGCAGCAGCGTCGGCATATCGCAAGGACCGAAGATATAGGGGGGGGGGGCAAGGTCAAGAAGGAAACCGTCAGGTTCACCAAGGGCAAGAAAACGACGTCACGTCTACACGACATCACGTCCTCAATGAGTGGTAAAAAAGTCAGAACCAGAAAAAAAAAGGAAGCTGAGGACGGTATCGAACAACCGTCGGCAAGCCCAACGGACTACAAGTACCGTCAGCCCTGGTACTCCTAGAGCGGGCAGCATACAGGTACCGTAGCGGGATTTTCCTCTACAGAATCTTCCCAAGTGCAACTGAGCAGGCGACAGAATCGACACGCGCTCGCTTTACTTCTACATGAGTGCTGGGGACAAGTATCGCGAGCAAACTCGTACCGTACCGAGGACGGTGGAAAAGAAAGCGCACCACCAATACCATCGGCTGGACGCTCATTCTCTCATCTTCACGTGGGAAAGCGACAACTAAAAAAAAAAAATGCAATCACCAGCACACACACTGCAGTGTCAAAATAGCAACAGCGAACGGCATCATCGGCAACGCGACCAGCCTGTAGCAACAGCCCGTGTGAAACAGGGAAACATCCTCCGCAAACCTCGGGGAGACGTGAACAGTTCCTTGCGGTCATCTTCACACAAGGACGGGCCGCCAAAAACACGCAACGACAAAAAGGGCGGGCTTGCTCGCTCGAACCTATACAGCACAGTTCGCCCGCTGTCAAGTACCTGCAAGAATGCCAGGATTCCGCTGACAAAGGAGGAGATGAGGCCGCAGAAGATAGCCCAGGCCTTGGTCCCGTTGCCATCGCCGCCCTCGGCGTCGAACGCTGAGATTGTGTAGAGCTCAGGAGTCGATGCGTCGCGTCAAAAAAAGACAGAAAAATAGACCATCGTTAGGAACGACAACGACTCTGGTAGACCGACAGGCAGACAGATATAGATAGAACAAGAATGGCCGCAAGACAGCACAGACAGACAAGCCGAACCTACGCTAGAACAGAACAACAACGATAAAAGTTGGCACCTATCCGCTATCCGTGAGACCAACCACTCGACCACGGCACGACGCCAGCGCGTCGGTAATCGTCTCCGAGGCGACGCCGACAACGGCGTAACGAGTGCCATGTTTGTGTGTGCCCTCACCAACGACGACAACAACAACTTTCGACGATATGTATAAGGTGGTAAGGGTCCGCTCCGAGGGACACGCGTGTTGTTGGCGCTATTGTACGGATCTCGCTTTCAACACCACCGACGTGGTGTCTTCACCTTTACGCTACAAGTGGCTGTGCCGTTGAACAAGCGTCATTCAACCCAGCACTCGACGATACGCAATCAGCAGCCCCTATGCACTAAGCTCGATATCGGCGTTTAGTCGCACGGGTATCATACAGATGCCTTTTACTTCGGAAAGCAATTCCAGTCAAGCCCGCGCGTAAGCAGTAAGACAAGCCGGATGAGAGTACAAGCTCATGTGGTCGGCGGTTGAAGGGTTCAAGAGCATATCCCCCCCTTCCCCTCCCGCCCGCCGCACAAGCGTGCCCCATCTTATCCACGGATGAAGAACATGAACGAGCATCGATCGAGCCGAGTGCTGGTCCAATCATCAGCCGTCCATTTCCAGCGCGATATAAACTACACTATTTCAAACACTACTCCGGAGATCGCCCCCCCCCCCCCCCCCCCCCCC